TATTTAAATAATATACTGCATAATATACAGCGTATAATAATATACATAATATAATAATATAAACAGTGCTTTACATACCACAAATATCAAAGAATTTGTTGTTTCATTTCATAACACTTTTCACCACTCTAAAAATTTTAATGGGGAGCGCCTTGGAGACTTGCAGTCGCATAGCGTCAGCTGTGTCGCAAGCAGTAACACAATTAGGACGAAAATTCAATTGATATGCTCAATATGAGATTAGCTAGAGTAATACTATCGATATTTTCAATTTTCTGTCAAAACCTGCAATGGTTTTAGCTATTTCCCGAGTTCCTGGGTATCTAACGAAATTGTAGACACCACTCGCATAGCAGGAGGCGGCAGCGGTCTTTCAATTTCTGAGCGCAGTTGAAATAAGTAATATAGATGCTATTGACGAATGTATGAACATTCTTGAACGAAGTGAAATGCGTCAACAGATTAAAAATAAAAATTATTCGTAATTGACACACAAGCCCACTTTAGCAATCCCAAACCATCACCACTATTTGTTCTAGGATGTTTTGTACAGTACTAACAAGTACAATACAGGTGGTGATGGAATGAAATGGATCTTGAAGTCAAATTAATGTAGAGATCTTCAGACTGAAAATGCACAATAACAAAGACATTTAAAATTATCAAAATCGTTGCAGTATTCAAGATTATAATAACACTGTTCTAACTAAAATTAGTAAAATTCTACCCATACTAGATTAAACAGAATTGAGCGTATACAGTTAGTTTACAATCCATGCAACCTACTACGGTTATAAAAAGGCTAAAAAACGCAATATCAAAGCAGGGACGTAACGTGATTCAAATATATAATGTAAAACACAAAACTAATCAAATACGTACGCCATCATTTATCATAGATGTAAAACCAAGAAACATCAGCGACATCTACAAAGTACGCGACCTTCTCAGTGGAAGATGAAGTCCGAATCACCGAGTACGAAGTTGGAAATTCTCCAGTGTAATAACCATCACGACTTATCACGTAAGTTCGTGCTGTTTCCTTTTGTCCCGCTGTGCTGATACTGCAGATAAACGCTTTACAACACTGTGCATAAATTACAAAAGCAAATGTTATTGATATTATGTGTATTATTTGAGCTGCGTTTGAGAAAAGCTTAAAGAATATTTTTTTTAATTATTTTAAATCGCATAAACTACAAATGTCATGAGCGACATTAATTAAATGCTATCACAAATCTTGTTTCCGTACTTTTTAAAATATCACGATTCTACTCAAAACTTCCCCAACAAAGTTTGATCGAATTGGACAAGACATCTTTAAAGACTTCATTTTGAAGAATAGATTTCATTAACTAAATCTTCCACCGTTATTTCAATTCGAACAAAAACGAACGGCTCACAGTCAGTCCCTCGGCTCCACGTACGAGCGTAGAAGCTACATAGGCGAACGAGGAAAACACGGAGCGAAATTCGATAGCCAAATGCGGCGTGACTAGTCGCCTCCGCGGGTGGCGCCTCGGCCTGGGCGGCGCGGGCACTGGCGGCGGCGGCGGCGGCGAGGACACGTGGTGTGCCAGCGCGTGCTGTGTCAGCGCCTTCCGCGCCACGCCCCCCTCCGGCGACAAGTGCGTCGCGACGCGCAGCGCCACGCCGCGTTGCGTTGCGTTGCATGTTTACACGCGCCAAGGTCACCCGACCAGCCTCCGTCGCTCCGCCGCCGCCGCCGCCGCCGCCGCCGCGGTAGCGCACTGGGTCCAAGGAGAAAGGAACGCACAGCAATGCTAATGTTAATGGATGGAGAGGATTTTGGGAGTTTCGGTCAGTAAAGTAAGATGTATGTATTTGGCATTTTAGGGTAGAATGAATCGGAATTTTGCCAGCTAGCTGTGTCTCTAGGCCAGGGCCCTGTTTTTATTTTATCCGCGCGTGGCATTAAATGGGAGACACATGGTGAGCATGTACTGCCTTCATAGAACGTATATAGCATACTTGGTCTCCCTGAGCTTTTATTTCTCCACACAACTACACAGCAGGAACAAACGAATGTAAAGGAAAGCTACAGCTCAATTTTTGCCCCGACCGGGAATTGAACCTAAGATCGTACCACGGAAATTGTTCCACGTGTCGAGGAAATGACATTACATTAATTACTACCAACATTTCGGTAATATTTGAGAAGTCCTTCAACAGGGATACATACATTGAAAAACTCATAACATAACAAAACAAAAGAACCAGTGTTTTTTGTTGTTTTTTTGGGGGGGGAGATTAAGTTGTTATATTTGTCATTGTATTTCGCCCTATTGCTGTTCCAGTATAGAGCCAAAACGTGGGCAGTAATGATACAATGTAATCTTACTTTTTAGGCCTAATCCCAAGAACCCACTTCATCATGTAATCAAGAGGTCAAGAACTACTCTCAAAGATGAAGTTAATGACAGAATGATAACTGCCCAAAATATTTTAAAGCAATAATTGTGAAGCAATGTAAAATGTAAGATTGGTACCAAAGAGAGCTGAATTAATACAAGAACCATGTAAGATAAAAGGGTTGTTGTGGTGACAAATTAATTGTACGTGTGGGAATCTGAAACTTTACGTTCTGAAGTTTTGGAGGAGAAACTTTGAAAAGTAAGCCTGTTAACGGGTTGAAAAACATTTATTTTAAGGAGCACAAATAAAGTGACATTCCTCTGACGACGTGAAGTTGCAGGAAATCTTGAGAAGAAACTTCAAAGAAAAATCCTAAAGTTGACGTGGACGCTCGTGGTCTTGATTAACTCCGGAGATTTGTATCTGAGGCTTATGCTTAAGTCCCTTAATATCTTAGCGGCACTAAGAATGTCCAAACTATGGAGTTCCCAAATAATATTCAATGTTTGAACATATCAAGTATCTTAAACTATTATGAAAATAAAATTATAACCATTGAATTTTAGGAATTTAATATTGAAATAATAAATATAAAACAATACATACAATACTTTAAAATAACTTTCGAATATTTTTGTTATACATTTATTAGTAGCCCTACTTGAATGTGAGTAGTAGACCTTGTGTCAAAAAATCCCTTGCACACACACCGCAATTACATCAGTTCTTGATCACTGATTCAAAACTCGCTCATATGTATGTGTGATTGACCTAGGATAGGCATCATCTTCATGATGCCAATACGACTTAAATCAAAAGAAAAACTGACGAGAGATATCGATGCGGTAATGATAAGTACCGTTTTATAAATACAGAGGAAATATTTCACCATTCAGAGCTGCTCACTATAAAGTTCGTTATACGCTGCAGACTTGTGTAATTCGTAAAATAGTTAATAATGCCTTGAATAGTTGTTCAAAACAATACGGAGAAACAATTCACGCAGAGCGATGCGAAGTTGCACGCATTATTAATTTCATTTCACTGCAAGCCTCAATTTAAATTACACAAAAACGTCAATAGAAATTTGTAACAAATATTGAATAAGTGAAAAAAATCAAGGAAAAATTTAATATATTCTAAATTTTACTTATGCATCTAAACATTGTTGAAATGGTTGCTTGCAATGGACAAAACAATGCTGCGAATTTAGAAATAATTCTATTACGACACGAGTTCGCTTTTGTGTCACTCAATGGACGCCTGGAGCTGTAAAAGAGATTCGTGTTCCTTTAATATGTTGCATCAAACAAGTACTATACATTTATCTATGACTGTCTGGTGATCATTTTCCTTTGATCACCATAATTGTTATGTTTAACACCATCAGACTTAGTAAACACCTATTCTCATTTCACAGATATAACGTTGCTACTACTACTTTTAAACGAGGCTTTCCTTTTGTTCCAGCAAAGAGTATTATAATATCAATAAAGCATTAAGTATGGACCCTAATGAAACTTAAAAGCATGTTTACCATAATGCTGCTTTTAAAAGCATACTCGCGAGGGCGTTCCTTAAACATTAGTGCACAGTTCTAGTTAATAGTTATTTATGTAATAGTTTGCTAAAGTACCCTATTTTAAACACGAGATGTAAAAATCCTTGTCCTAGGCGGTAGTACAAGTAAATCGTATGTGTTTCACTCGCTTTATAGTGTTCCGTAGTGATTCAAAATCCAACTAAAATGTAATTCGAATTCTTTTCTCAGACCCTTACCTACATATGAAATAGGGCACAATACTAATGTTTGATGCACTAGAAAAGCAAGGTACTTAAAAACTTTTTGTATAATATGTATTAACATTTCAGTGCTATTCAGTATTTTTCCCAAATCTTATCTTTCACACATTTGTACTTTTTTAAATAATTGACACATTTCGATACACGTAAATTGAAATAGGAGAGAAATCGGTCGTGAATTAAAGTGTTTTATTTCAAAAGAGAATAAAATACCTGAAACCAAGAACGAAATAAATGAGGTGTTATATGGCTGCATAATAAGAATAATTTATTTCTCTTTCCTAGTTCTCTTTTCTTTGCTGCCCGAATTCATTTTGTGGTACGTCGCTCGCGTTCATAGTCCCGCTCATTACCCGTCATTGCGCGCAGGAACATTATTATATCTTATAGCATCTTTTGCAGCATCTTTCACAGCTCTCTTTTACAGCATTAATACCTTTTATTGTTGTATAATGTCAAATTATATTGCAAGAGCGCTCCAAAGCACTTGCAATATAATTTGTTTCTTAAGGGAGCGAAGATTCGTAGCGTCGCATCATGAACACGATCTGAAATATTTAAGAGATCTAATTCAATATGAGTCATTCAGGAATTTCAGAACTAGCTCATATGATCCGTTGTAAATACTTGCGTAGCCGCGTATGAGTAAATCACGTAGTAATTCAGTTAAAATAAAATAAAGATATTAGCATTTGATATATCTACAGTGGGCTGCAATTGGTCAAAAATGCCCTGATGGAACGTTTATGAAAACCAAAAAGCGCGCTTAAGATTACAGTTACAACAAGCACATGTTATGATAAGCGTTTTCAGGGCCGCGCCCGCCCACTGCGCCGAGTCCTCCGCGGCATGACAAGGCGCGCGCTCGCGCTAGAGAGAGAGAGCGCAGAGACAGAGAGGGAGCCACACACGCTATCGTCTCAGCATGATTCGTCGCTCCGAGCCGCGGAGTACTTATGCAGGCGGAGAACCGGTCCGGGCATCAGTCGCAGCCTAGCCGCAGCAGCCACAGCCAACCACCGGCTCCACTCATCTCAGCGCCTTCTCGCTCTCAACCCGCTGTAAGCATGAAGCTCGAGACCGTCATCCCCAACTTCAAGGCCCAGACCACCGAGGGACCCATCAGCTTCTACGAGTGGCAGGGCAACTCGTAAGTATTGGCGACCGGCGAAGTCGCTCGCATAAAAACTGATCCGGTTTATCGCACCGAATACGAAATTACTACTATGGTTGTTGCGCTTCTCGTAACAACGCGGCAACCGAAACGAAAAGCAATTTATTTCAGAATTTCCCTCGGGGAAGACCCGAGACGCGGTTCTGGTCTAGAAATGTGGTGATTTTCGCTTGGCACTTTCGTGAGTGGAGAAGTTGCCGGTTTTGTAGCTAGAAGTTTCGTTCTTCTATTCCATTAAGCAATATCTTACCACAGAAGCTACAAGATCTTCGGCCTCTGTTTTGTTTGAAATTTGTCTCTTTATAAAAACACGAAAGAGTAATTTGAGCTCAAATTCAAACAGAGTTTTTGAATGTATTTCTCCCTTACTGTAATTCTCAAAAATACCGACTTAACACATTGACAAAGATGCCAACTTAACACATTGTTTTAGTTACACACATATAAAAGTTTATTACACTCAATGCTTTTAAATCTTATAAAATTATTTAATTCTAATAAAAAATTAAACCCCTTTGATAAGGAGCATATCAACTTGTCTGTTGCTTTAGGATAATGTACCAGTACTTTACAGGAAATATCAATTGATATAACATTTTAGAGGTTTATCGTAATCAAAATAGCTATATCTCCTTGCATTCAGTGGTGAAATTGTCACAGTTGCTTCGTTACAATGAATTCTGAATCAAATGCACGTTTAAATCAATGTTGCATATCTGTTACGAGCTGATAAATAAGTCGTACACTCGTGTTCTTCTTTTATCATCTGCATTTGTGTGCATTTTTTTCGTTCCGAGGCGATAAAACTGCATTGGGTTTGCGCAGGTGGGTGGTGCTGTTTTCGCACCCCGCCGACTTCACCCCCGTGTGCACCACGGAGCTGGGCCGCATCGCAGTGCACAACCCGCACTTCCAGAAGCGCAACACCAAGCTCATCGCCCTCTCCTGCGACAAGCTCAAGGACCACAACGACTGGGTGGCGGTAAGTTACCCCTCGCATTCAGAAAAGAAAAAACAAATTAGATAGAGCGTCGATAGTCCGGATTAATTGGAAACACAGTTGTGCGCTCTTCTGGATTATATTACTGTCTGGATTTTCGTAATTAACCAATAGTAGGTCGGGGAGGCGTGCAAATAAAAAATTTTAAAAAAATTTCTAAATTGGTTCATAATTCACTCTTGTGGTTGAAGAAAACGAGAAAGTGAATCAACTATTAATATAGGTTATTTTAGGTTTTAATTACGAAAGAAACAGTAGTACTGCAAGTACAGATTGAATTATTTTATGTACAGTAAATATAGGCCAAACACTGTATGAATAGAAAAGTCATACTTCTTGTAGTATTTTTTTCTTGCTAGAATCGAATACGGATTACCGACGGTTGGGATTTTTGATATCCAAAATATTGGCACTACTGTATTCGTTCCTAAGAAGAAGAACGTGCTCTTCGTGAACGAAATGAAATAATTACTACAAAATATTTGTAGCCAGTTAGCAATTCATAGACTTTGACCAATATCACTGGGAATACAAAAAAAACAAGCTTTATTTAGTTTTGTCAAGTTAAAACTAATAACAGACGTTAATAACAAAAATAATAGCTTAATTTACTATTATGTTTTTTTTTCATTTGTCATAAAACCCCCAAATCTTCTCCTTCAATAGAGATCTGATAATTACCAGACAATTTTTAAATGATTAATAATTTAATTTATATTATGGGCAACGTTGTAATTTACTTTTTAGTTTTCTAGGAGTTCTTTCGTGGTACATTTTCAAAGAATTTAAAGATTCGATAAAAAGAGCTTGGAACACCTAATTTATTCATACTGAAAACTCATTGATCCCAACTTTTGAGCTGAGCCACTGCTTCAGCAAACACGCAGCTTTTTTTCAATTTGTTTTTACAAAAACATTCGGCAAATATGCAAAATTTTAAAATTAATTATATAGGTATGATTTGAGAGTTCTTCGTATTATTGGCACTCCACCAATATGCCTTTTAAATTTATGATCAGTATTGATGGATGTATAAATATTACATTGTGAACATTATTTAACTTGAACAACATCGACTGATCTAAGCGTATTTTCAAAAGGGTACCAATTTCTTGATTGTCTCAGACCAAATAGTAGAATCCAGATACAACAAATGTGACAAACGTAAAAAAAGTGTCCCAAAAACCTCGATATCGAGACATCTTGTATTGAGTTCTTTTCGTATCAAACTCCCAACTATTTGAAACCGTTGGCACGGCAAATTCTTAGATATGCGACCACAAACACTTGATGTCAGCCGGGCCGAGCCCCTTAGCAACTTGAACTCGCCGCCCCACCGCGTGCCTGCGCGCCGGCACGCGCGCACCTTACGCAACCGCGGGGCGCGATATTCCTCTTCCTCGAGCGTCTCCTTGGGGGCCTCCGCGGAGAGAGAATTTTGTATCTGGATTCTACTATTTGGTTTGAGACAATCAAGACATTGGCGCCTTTTAA